ATATAAATTAGCAAAAATGTACTCAAGAAAAGTTAGAAACCCTGCAAAAACCAAAAAACATAAAAGACACTTTCAGATTCATTATAATGACAACCCAAAATAGGTTGCTCTCTACCATGAACTCAAACCTGTTTTTACGTGTAAGTGAGGAGGAGGAATATGGATCCCAGAACCTAATCCCAAAGGTGTGAGGAATTCCTTGATGGTGTGACACTGGATGCTTGACACCTAAAAATAGTAATGGGACAAGAATGTTTGCTCTGAAACTAAAGACAGTATATTAGAAGTTTCGCCTACAACAAGTTAAGAAAAAAAAAAAAAAACAGAGTTTTAACTATTAGAAATCAAGAGATAAAACTATTCCTCTTTATAGATATGATTGTCTATCTAGCAAATCCCTGCAAATCAAATGAAGGGCTTCCAGTACTCTTAAGAGAGTTCAGTAAGATAGATAAAACAATCAAAATTCAAAAACCAGTAGCCTTAAAACAAAAACAAAAACCCAGTAGCCTTCTTATATACCATCCATACCTGATTACAAAATACAACGTTACACAGTTTTTAAAAGGACTCTGCAATATCATACTCCATAAAATACCAAGAAGTAAACCTACGAAGAAATATAAACCTAAATGGTAAATTACAAAATGTCACAGAAAGACATACAAACCTGAATAGATGGAGAAAGATACCATATTCCTAGACAGAAAGATTCAGAACTGTAAAAACAAGAATCTCCCCCATACTAATCTATAAAATCAATTTCAACAGGACTTTTTACAGATCTTGATGAACTGATTCTAAAATTCATATTTTTAGAAGAAAAGGAGGAATTTGTCTTACCATATCACAAAACTTCCAATAAATGAAAAGCAAATAAAACAATGTCATACCATCACAGCAACAAAATAAATAGACTAGACTAATAGTTAAGTGTCCAGAAACAGATCATTAGGAAGTTACTTTATGAGAAGACAGCATTTCAAATCAGTAGGCAAAGAGAAAACAACAACATATTTATCAAATATATCTGACTACCTTTTGGGGATTAATATAAAATCCTAACTTTCAGCATATAAAACATTAACTCCTTATAAGGCTGCCTTATAAGAAGCCTAAGGGTAAAAATAAAATGGTTTGCAAGTATTAGAAGAAATGATAGAAGAAGTCCTATAATCTTAGGACATGTGGCAGAGGCTGCTTTGCCTACTTTCCTTCTTAATAGCAGAACTCCAATTTTAACCTAGGCACACTATCAACAAGATATTTCCCAGTGTCCTTTGCACTTAGGGGTAGTCATATAACTAGGTGCAAACTGTTATCAGGACTTCCAAGAAGTCTACTAAACGAGGGAAGATACTCAAATGTATGGCTGAAGCCCCTGCAGTCATTTCGGACAATAAGGTGATCTTGAAATAGAAGTTATGTGGGATGACAAAACTGAAAGATAGAAACCCACATATTGATGATACCATGAAGCCACCATATCTACCTTAGAGTATCCACTTCGAGCTATCTCTTTGGTAAAAGAATAGTAGCCTGTCTTCCTTAAGCTATTGTTAATTCACTTTATTATATAGTTTTCTAATCCTAAGAAATACAGGATGGAAAAAAACTTCCTAAAAGACACAAAATCTAGAACTCATAAGGAAAAGATAAGTATGCATGATTTTATAACAATTTAAAACTTCTGCGTAAACCCAGATAATACACATATTTCCTCCAAATAATCAGGGACATACAAATTTTTAAATATAATTTTCATCCATTAGATTGACAAAAGTTTATTATTTTTTTAAGATTTTATTTATTTATTTGAAAGAGAGAGATCACAAGTAGGCAGAAAGGCAGACAGAGAGAGGGGGAAGCAGGCTCCCTGCTGAGCTGGGCTCTATCCCAGGACCCTGAGCCTAAGGCAGAGGCTTAACCCACTGATCCACCCAGGCACCCCAAATCGACAAAAGTTTAAGGATACAAAACAAGTATTAGGATGTGTGGAAACAGTCACTCTTTTTACACTGTGAGTGGGAATTGTAAATCAGAGAAGCCTTTCCAAAGGCAATTTAACATTATATATTAAATCTTCTCATGTATATATACTTTCACCCAGAAATCATTGAAAAATATGATATAAACACCAAAAAGCTCATTTCAGCATTACTTGTAATAGTAAAAATTTGTAAGCCATCTAATTCTTCATCAACAAAAGGGTGGTTAAAAATTATATTTATAATATTGTATTTTATAATATTATATTTATAGAATACATTATTAAAGTATACATTGCTGTTAAAATAAGGTTAATGTGTATATGTACAGAAATAGAATCTTTTATTTTATTTTATTTTATTTTTTTATTATTATGTTCAATTAGCCAACATCTAGTATATCACTAGTTTTTTTTTTTTAAGATTTTATTTATTTATTTGACAGAGAGAGAGAGAGTGCGTGCACGCATGCGCACCTGCACAGAGGTAAGGGGAGGGACAGAGGCAGAGGGAGAAACAGACTCCCCACTGAGCAGGGAGCCTGCCAGGGTTCTATCCCAGGACTCTGGGATCATGACCTGAGCCAAAGGCAGTAGCTTAACTGACTAGGTCACCCAGGTGCCCCATATCCAACATATTTGTACACTGTGATGCTTCTTCGCATTTTCATTCTCTTTACTAACTCTGGTTTGTTTTTCCTCCTTGGGCTTAATTACTTGCATTTCAAGTACTCATTACTATAAGAATAAATCCACTTAATGTTTCCTAAATTCCTCAAAAATAAACATATAAATGTCTGAATATATAGTAGTCTAAGCTATCCAACCCCCAAATCAGATATTCATTCAGCTAATTTATGTAAGCACCCTTCAAAATCAAATTCAAATTATATTATACTGAACACTCTATAAAAGAAGATGACTAAAATAAATTAGCTACATTGTTAGTTTTTGATGTAATGTTCAACGATTCATTAGTCGAGTATAACACCCAGTGTTCATCACAACACGTGCCCTCCTTAATACCCATCACCTAGTTACCCTATGCCCTAACCCCCCTCCCTTCTGTAACCCTCAATTTGTTTTACAGAGTCCAGAGTGTCTCATGGTTTGTCTTCCTCTCTGATTTCTTTCCATTCAGTTTTCCATTCCTTCCCCTCTGGTCCTTAGAGCATCACAAGAACAATAGTTATGATTTTTTTGGTAGTAGACATTACATATGTTTATTAGCACACATATTTGTGCTAAATAAACTGGAAATTGGAAGGATGCACAGCAAACTACTGGTAATAGCTACTTCTGGGGAAGAATATGGGAGGCCAAAACAGATCTTACTTTTTGATTTATAAATTTTTGACTCTTTAAAAATTAATCCATGCCTTACTTATATAATAACAAGAAACAAATGAAGAAGAGAAATCACTGATTTGAAAATACATCTTACAAGTTCACTGAAAAATACCAGTTAAAACAAACAGAGCTAGTACTGAGTACAAAAGGTCTAGGAATTAAAGTACTGAAAAAATTTTTTAAAAATCCTTAAATTAAAGGTCAGAAACTTGGAAGGATAAAAGTTTAAAATTAAGAAGATTAACATCTACTTAAAAAAAATCTGAAATTCAACACAGTAACAGGGATATGAGAGACACAGAAAAGAGGTAACTATTAGCCATTATTACCTACCAAAACACCATACATTTTGGATTAAGAAAAGATTCTACACAGTTTTCTCTTCCTGGTCACACTCGAGTAGATGAAAAGTAGGAAATTATAATAGGAAACTAAATTATGTATTTTTAAAAAAATTATAAAATCATCAAATCTAAATCTGACAGCCCCAATTAAAAGAATGTATGACCCAATTTAAGAGAAGGTAAATGGAAGCATTAAAGCTGCCAATAAAGTGTTCCTAAAAAGATGCTTGTGGAAAAATACTCTGATTTAATTTGACCCAATAGTTGATGCAACAGAGTACATTGGGGAAAAAAACTGACAGAAGAAAGAGACCTGGGTTGTAGCTCTAGCTCAGTCTCTAGTATTGCAATAAAATCTTGGGAAAGTCACAGTTTATCTGGGCATCACTTACTTCATTTATAAAATGAAAGGACTAGACTATATGGTCTCTAAGGGTATTTGAATTTCTAGAAAAATAAAGCTAAGAAACAGAACATTAACTTCTGCTGTGCAAGCTGTAATCTGACTGTTGAGCTGTATAAAACTGTGAGAAGTTGGTTTCTGAGACTTCAAGGCATGTGGGAGATAAAACTCAACAGAATGTAAGGAAGTATCCCAGAGAGAGAGTGACCTCCTCTAGCTAAAGAGGAAAAACAAATTCTTTGAATAACAGGTTTTATCGAAGTACATAAAAAAGTCATTTCACATGAAATCAAAAAAGTTTAACAGTAAGAACAAAATACTCCGAAAATCAACCACTAGGCAAGCAGAAAAGAATGTCATTGTATTTGTGATTGTGATTGCAAACAATTTACAGTGTAGTCTTAGTTTACTCTTCTAATTACTATTCCTCTATACAAACTTTCCATTCTCAGTAGAATAGACATTCCACTGTCATATATGCATTCACTCACTCATGTTTTTACTTTTACTATTTGTCTCTCCCAGAATGCCACTATCATTCAATATACATTTATTATATGTGTTTCCATACTGTCCATTATCTTCATACACACGGTTCTCATTGTTCTCATTCAAGCTAACTTGAAAGCTCCTGATGATGACAAACTTAACCTTCTTTTCTATCATTACCTTGCTTCGGCAGAACACTTTCAAAAAATGTTTGTTGATTTAAAAAAATTCACAAATCATCTATTTTAATTGAAGTCTGAGAGTTTTGGGACATTAATTTGACATCCATATTCTGACACCTTACTTTTATGTAAATGTGTCCTTTCTGGTATTAAGGAAAACAAATTATAGTAACTCTTAAAACTAAAAAAAATAAAATATGAATCGCAAATGGTAGTATTTTAAGACATTTAATAATCATCTTTACCAATTTACTTTCATTTCTCTTGTTTTAATTCTTCCTTCCATTGGAAATCTATAAATAAAAACACAGGGCAAAACTTTTATTATTATTACTCATTTTAACTAAATAGAACCTTTAAAAAATTATTTAAAACATATTTAATTTCCATACCTGATTGTTACCCGATTTGGATCTTTGTTCAAAGTATTCAGTGTTTTCTTTTCATTTATCCTTAACTGCACATCTACAAATTCCTTGCAGCTGGCTATCATTGTGACCTATAAAATTTCATCATTTGCCCATTTACTTATGTCTCTTTTTTTTTTTTTTTAAAGATTTTATTTATTTATTTGACGGAGAAATCACAAGCAGGCAGAGAGGCAGGCAGAGAGAGAGAGGAGGAAGCAGGCTCCCTGCTGAGCAGAGAGCCCGATGCGGGGCTCGATCCCAGGATTCTGAGATCATGACCTGAGCCGAAGGCAGCGGCTTAACCCACTGAGCCACCCAGGCACCCCCTTATGTCCCTTCTTTACTTCTTTCCTTCCATCTTCTTTCTCTATATTTACTTATTTTCCATGCTGCCTTTTAAAGCATGCCTATCACAGCTTTATCATTTAAGATGTGTAACAGAATTAAAAATTCACTTTATACATTTTGCTTCTTTAAGAATTCATTCATTCACTAATAAGTGTTTACAAACACTTGATATATGCTAGACATTACGCTAGACACTGGGACTACACCAATAAGATCATAAAGATTAACAAAATAAAATTTAAAATATTCAGTCCTGTGCCTACCACTTAGTAAGCACTCAATAAATGTAGCTGTCATTTCTACTACTATTATAATATTATTTATCCTTCTGTAGTTTGCAAATCATTATCCTGATTGAGATTAATTTTGTAATGGAAAGAATGCTTTAGACATTAAGAAATTTGTATTACAGAGCCTATTCTGCCAGATGATTTTGAGCAAAGCATTTTTGTGCTTTGGTTTCTCACATCTGTAACATGAAACTAACATCTGTTCTAATCCTCTTACATACTTGCTGAACTCAAAATAAGATTAGTTAATGTTAAATTAGTAGTTTTTTACTCTTGATTACCCTTAGTTAAGAATAATATTTACATAAAAATAGAAGCATTCTAGTTTTCATCAGTTTTTGTGCAATTTTTGTTTTATAATCTCATTACAAAAATCAACCTAGATATCTTAAATAAAAATTAATAGTTAAATTTGAGAATAAGAATAAATATCTTGTTGCATATTTATGTCCCCTGTAAAGGGAGAAAGGACCAATACGGTTCTCAAGTATCATCAACATGACTATGGTTCTACTTACTGCTATAACTATAAAGTTGCCCTCACAGTTGATATCTTAGTATAATCTTGTTTTCACTCCACTTCTCTGCAATCACTGCTTTTTCTAGTCTATCATGAATCCTATCCTATTTCTACTATTTTTCTGATGCAAAAAGTTTAGAGAAGGATTGCAAGTACGTGGCACACATGTCCAACATTGTCCATCACTCACAGCAGACTTGCCTAATATATCATGACACATTATCCTGGTCTTTCTCAAAAAAGTACACTTAGTGGCCACTACCAAAGTAAATAGCATTATCATTTAAATTGAAAGAGAGTTGCCCTCCCTATTTTGGGTATGTATATAAATTTCCTTAGCCTTGATACAGAGATACAATTGAAAATTTATTGTAAAGAATAATATTCCATATCTCATGATCAAAGGTATGTAAGATGGAGAGACATAAGCACTACTAGAAATGCTTTCTTGTCTGCTCACTCATTCTTAAATTGCATGATATGCAAATTAGTTGTTTCCCCAATATTATTTTATACTATATCATTACATATTTATTTTCTAGTGACAACTAATTTACCAGATCTAATAAAGTCTCCTTTCCACTGATAGTACAAAATTTCTTCACTGTCTCAAATGTAATGTAATACCAAGCCATCAATCTTCCTGCCTCTGTGAAAAAAGATGAAAAAAGAAACATTCACTCCATCAGTTGAAACAACGCGCTTTTTCATCAGTTTAACAAACATTCTTTAATTTCTATTCTGTGCCTGTAACAGCATCAGGTACAAAGACACATCAGAAAATTGAGAAGACACAGTTTCTAGAATTTATAGGTTGGCTAGGGAGATAACTATATACAAAATAGCCAGACTAGAGGACAAAATCCAATTAATGATAGTATTTACATATACAAGGGGCACCTGGGTGATTCAGCTGGCATCTGACTCTTGATTTTGACTCAGGTCATGATCTCAGGGTCATGAGATGGAGCCTAGCGTTGGGCTCTATGTTCAACCTGAGTCTACTTGCGATTCTCTTTCCATCTATCCTCTGCCCCTCCCTACTCTCTGCACACACTCTTTCTTTCTAAAAATAAATAAATAAATCTCTAAAAATATATTTACATATACAAGCTTAAGTACAGAGGATATTAAACCTAAGAGAATGGTCAGTGTGGGATGCCTTAGTAGGAAAATGAAGCTTGAACAGGATTTAAAAATGAATAATATGCCTTGGCAGAAAAGAAAAGCTGTCATGACCTCAGTGAAAAAAAATCAAGACTTATTTATCAAAACTGTAAAGTTAAAGGTTATCTTTAGGGCCTCCTGGGTGGTTCAGTCAGTTTAGCATCCAACTCTTGATTTCGGCTCAGGTCATGAGACTGAGCCCCACGGTCAGCTAGTGCTGGGCATGGAGCCTGCTTAAGATTCTCTCTCACCCTCCACTGCCACGCTCTAAAAAATTAAAAAAAAAAAAAGACTATTTTTATAATACCTTAATGAGAGATTTGGCTTGATAGTAACTATGAGTTCAGGCCAAACTGACCTTCTTCAAGTCACTGCTCCATCACTTAGTAGGTAGGTGATCATATGCAGGTTATTTTACCAATATCTTAATGTAACTTGGGGATAATAGAAGTATATATCATATATTTGTTGTGAAGAGTAAATGCAGTATTACATGTATGGTACATAGCACAGTGCCTAACATTAAATAAATGTTGCCTACTTTTATTACCAAAACATGATGAGTAGTAGACTATGAGGGCCCGAAAGAGCCTTGAAATGCTAACAAAGGAGTTTAGATTTTGAATTTGATTTGTAAAATAACAGAGGACCACTTAAAATTTTGAGCAATATTTGATTAAACTGAAGTGTGAAAGTAAATTGTTTTGGAAATAGAACATTGAGTTGGCTGGAAGTAGCAGTATGGGTAGAGCAGGGGTAAATAAATGATTAAATGAAATTCATTTGAAAAGTTACTGGTTTTAATTATAAGTTGTCAAAAACATTATAAAGAATGTTAAGCCTTATGAGCACACACAGGAAACAGCTGGGAAGAAAAAACTGCATACTGCTTCTCAAGCAAAGGGCTAACATTTATGTATGTGCTACAGGTTTGCTGAAGAAAGGAGAATTAGACATTCCATCAGACATACAGGCATCAAGGCCATGGTAGAGTAGACAGAACTAAGAATCAGGAAGAGAAGTAGCCAGGGAAGCTTAAAAGCCACTTTATCAATTAAGATCCTGGTGGATATGTTCAACCGAAATGCAGGAGATGCTGTGGTTCATAAAAGGGAGCTTCTGAGAGCAGTGTGTGAGATACAGAGAATATGGTTACCATGGGAACTAGTATGTTAATCTTTAGGATATATTTAAAGATATTCCTCTTATCCTAGATGTTTATAAACTAATATAAGGTTTCTCCCTGCTAGAGAAAATGAAAGGTTTGAGAAAAGACTTGATACTCTCTGGCTTATTAGAAAGGATGAAAGATTCCTAGCCAAGGTATAAAATAATTTAGAAAGGAAGGCATGAAGAAATTGAGTCAAAGTAGAAGGGCTGGAAAAAATTTTAAAAGATTTGCAAGTGAAGGTGGAAATAAAGATGCATCTTTCAATCAATATGGTGTTGAATGATAAATATTCTTAAAATACCAAATTCAGGAAATTTCAAAGTAAAGGCCATAGGATCACAGGGTGGGGTAGAAAGTAGAGGCCATGAGAATACACCTCCGATATCTCTTCCTACCAGAAGTGACTGACTGATGGCTCAAGCTAATATGCTCTGAACCTATCACTATGTTTACACCAAGGTCATACTCCTCATGAGATACTCCAAACCAATGACTACACATGGCAGAAATATTAAGATAGGCCTATAAAATAGGAACTCCTTGGATAGGGAACTTTGAACTTAAAGATTCTTCGTCAGCTTTGCTGAATGGCCTTAGGACTGCATTTTACGTTAAAATTCTCTTTCCTTCTTTGAAGCCAACAACTGAACAATTCATGCAACCTCATAACAAGAATACTAACCTCAATAATTATCCTAATAAAAATATTAGCACAGTTTAAAAGACATGTTACATTCCTCATAAAATTATATATACATACATAGACACATGCATGCATACATACATAAATGCTTTGTGGGTTTGTTTTTTTTTAATAGTTTAATGGTATCAGGTGCAATAAGAGTTGAGGCTACTGAGTTATAAACACAAAGGGCAGTATGTTCAGAGACTGGACATTGGGTAATATGTATTTTCAATGCAGAGTACATGGCCAATCTGGGCCCAGAGGAAAACCAGGTAAAAGGGCATTATGTGCAGTGCTGTATTATTCTGAATTCAACTACTTTCCACTAGATTTGTGTAGTTTATGTTAAGCTGCTCTGATGGTTAATTTTAGGTGTCAATGTAACTATCAACTAGCTATAGAATATCCCTATACCGGGTATTTGACTCTATACTGGGTCAAATACTATTCTGGATGTGTCTGTGGGGATATTTTTGGATAAGATTAACATTTGAATTGGTAGCTGATGAGTAAAGCAGATTGCTTTTTTTTTTAAGGCTTATTTTTAAGTAATCTCTATATCCAATGTGGGGATGAGCCTACAACCCCAAGATCAAGAGTCACAAGCTCCAACTGAGCTAGCTAGGTGCCCTGTGGATTGCCTTTCCTAATGTGGGTGAACTTCATCCAATCAGTTGAAGGCTTAAATAGAACAAAAAGACTGACCCCTCTGGTGTAAGAAGGAATTGTTCTGGTGACTGCTTTGAGCTGGGAAATGGGTCTTTTCTTGACGTTGGACTGGAACTGAAACATTAGCTCTCCTTGGGTCTCAAGACTGCCAGCATTACACTGGAATTTATTCCATCAGTTCTTCTGGTTCTCAGGCCTTCACACTTAGACCAGAACTATATCATTGGCTGCCTAGATTTCTATCTTACTGACTACAGATCTTGGGACTTCTAAGCCTCCATACTCATGTGATATTTACAGTAAATTTTATCTATCTATCTATCTATCTACCTATCATCTATCGACTTTCTGTGTGTGTGTGTGTGTGTGTGTGTGTGTGTACATATATATATGTATAGCCTGAACACGGAATGGCACAGGAATTAAAGAGAAACCAAAGATATCAAATATTTCATAATTTTAAGCTTGACAAAATAGTTATGCTACTGAGAATGACAGGCAAATATATAGACAGAGATATATTTTTCTAACCTTGGACAAAAGAGAAGAACAACTCATATTTATAGTAAAAATTTTTACATTGATTATTCCATTTGATCATCATAACAACCCAATAATGTAAGTAGGACATATATTCCTGTTTTGTAGATGAATAAACTAAGTTTTAGTGAGCATAAGGTCACAGTTAGCAAGTGGTAGAACTGGGAGTGAAATCCAGGTTTTGGAACTCAAATTTTATGTTCATTCTATTTCACAGTATTCCACGTCATAGTAACTGTTACATGCTTCTAGATGTCAAGTTTCATGTTATTTACCTAAATAAAGACTTTCAACAGAAAATTGAGCAGTGGGCATCTAAAAAAAAAAAAAAGAAAGAAAGAAAAGAAAAGAAGAGAAAAGAAAATTGTGCACCAGATTTTGTAAAGAAGGTGAGAGACTAGAATCAAACTTAGAGTTTTGAATTCATTTATGGAATGACTACAGCTAAAGTTTGAAGGTAGATCATGTTTTCAAGAAAATAATCAGAAACTGGGAATGAAAGTCCAAGGTCTGCAACTTCAAGAAACCCACAGTAAAGCAAAATGGTCAGCAAAGAGAGATTGATTAAAGCAGAGGAAAACTAAAAGGTTACCAAGAATCGGAAAATTAGTCAGGTAGTATTCACTGATGATGGAGAATGATCACTATAGATCATTTACTTGGTATATTTAAGAGTAGAAGGAATGGTATCTGTGTATTCAAGAAGTTCCACAGGAAAGGAATGACAGTGGAAATTAGATCCTTGAGAGAGAAAGTACCTAAAGAATAGATGAAGTTACATTAATGATTCTCATGCCCCATCTAATGAGACACCCTAGAATACATAGAAGATAAATGATAAACAAAATTACGTTTATCAAAAAGACCACGGGAGAAGGAAAAAACAGTTATAAATCTAGGGATAACAGTAAGGGCAATAAATTGCTTTAAAAACTTAATCTTATATAAATAGATGAAAAGAGCCAATCAGAGATCAAGAGCACAATAAATGAAATTAAGAACATACTTGATGGAAAAAATAGGCTAGATGAAGCAGAGGAACGAATTAACAACCTGGAAGACAGTAATAAAAAGTAACCAAGCCGAGCAAAGGAGAGGAAATAAAATTATGCAAACTGAGAATAGTCTTAAGGAACTCAGTAGACTCCATTCAACACTTAGCAAAGGTGTAATAACATTTGCATTATAGGCATCTGAGAAGAAAAGGGAGAAAAGGTGGCAGCAATTTATTTGAAGAAATATGGCTGAAAACTTCCCTAATCTGGAGAAGGAAACAGACATCTGGATCCAAAAGGCACAGAGATCCTCCCAAAAATTCAAACTGAAGAGGTCCACACCAAGACACACTGTAATTAAAATGACCAAAAAATAGAGATAAAGAAAAAATGTAAAACCTGACATTAAATACAAGTAAAAACATGATACAAAATTATACATTTCTAAACTATGGTTGCAAATGTATAAAAAATGCATTAAAAATGGAAGGATATTTGTCAAATGCTAACAATAGGATCCTGATTTTTAAAAAACTTTTTAATACCTCCCAACTTCTATTAAGGATTAATTTGAAATAATGAAGTCAGTATTTCCCCTAAGAAACTTCTAATCATGAGTCCTAAAAACTACAAACCATTCTTTGTCTCTTGTATTATACTCTAAATAGAATGAAAAAGACAGAGAAAGAGAGAGAGAAAAGGAGGCAAAGTAACCATGTGGATAACAAATGTTTGAATAATTAATAACTAGCAAAAGGGTACCTACAAGAATTCTAAGAGGTTTAAAGTGACCCAAAGATTTCAATATTTCAATTCTCTGCCCAAAGTCACCAGAATCAGTGAAGACAAAGTACCTGTCAAAAACAAGCTCTATAGGGGCACCTGGGTGCCTCAGTCATTAAGCATCTGCCTTCAGCTCAGGTCATGATCCCAGGGTCCTGGGATTGAGCCCCCCATGGGGCTCCCAGTTCAGCAGGAGGCCTACTTCTCCTTCTCCCATTCCCCTGCTTGTGTTGCCTCTCTAGCTTTCTCTGTCAATTAAATAAATGAAAAAAAATCTAAAAAAAAAGTTCTATAATTTTATAAATAGGACTCTTACATAAATATATCATGCTAATAATGATGATACCCTGTTGAGACAACTGAGATTATAATTTAATTTTAATATCATCTAAATTTTCGTAGAACATATTTTAAAGATTTTATTTATTTATTTATTTATTTATTTATTTATTTTATTTGACAGACAGAGATCACAAGTAGGCAGAGAGGCAGGCGGAGAGAGAAAGAGAGGAGGAAGCAGGCTCCCTGCTGAGCAGAAAGCCCGATGTGGGGCTCCATCCCAGGACGCTGGGATCATGACCTGAGCCGAAGGCAGAGGCTTTAACCCGCTGAGCCACCCAGGTGCCCCTGTAGAACATATTTTAAAATTTAGTCTTAGCCTTAAGCAATTGTTAAATTTACTAACTAATGGAAAAATTACCAGTTGGTTTGAAATTAACATCTTCATCCATCCTTATCAAGTCCAGAGATGATAAATCATTCAGATTCTTCAAACATAATTCTGTCCAATAATAAGAAACATTTTTATTTTAGTAAGATAAAGGAACAGCACAAAATAGAATTTATAATCAAACATGCTAAAGGTCTGTTTCTCTATATTTGCTATGAGAAAACTGTAGTCCCTACTTAAGTGGTAAGGAAAAACTCATTAAATAAAAGAGCCAGTGAACAGGCTAAAAAGATTTTCTAATAGTAACAATAATACAAATTACCAAATAAGTGATGAAATAACATTTACGACTTGGAACTTTTAATTTTAAATGAGAAAATTTGGGGCACCTGGGTGGCTCAGTGGGTTGGGCCGCTGCCTTCGGCTCAGGTCATGATCTCAGGGTCCTGGGATCGAGCCCCGCATCGGGCTCTCTGCTCAGCAGGGAGCCTGCTTCCCCCCTCTCTCTCTGCCTCTCTGCCTACTTGTGATCTCTCTCTCTCTCTCAAATAAATAAATAAAATCTTTTTAAAAAGAGAGAGAAAATTTGCATTACCTCATTTAATTTAATTCTCATAATAACATAACAAGGTAGGTACTAATATTATTTCATATACAAGTTAGGAAATAAAGAAATAGGAAGCTAGGTTACTTGCTCCAGTTGTATTTAACCACCCTGCTATTTGACTTCCAGTGTGGCGTGGTTTGCTTTTTCTTTTTCTTTTTTTAACTTTTATCAAAGATACATACATACAAAATATAAAGAGTCAAATAGATCTACAAAGATTGTCCAAAAAAACACCAATCTTTTTCCTCCTCTGAGTTTGCCACACTCTCGAGGCAACCACTTGTGACTATTTCAGCTGATGCTTTTAGTACTTAGTTCAGCATAATTAACATGTTACTATTGCTACCTGGAAGGAACCTCTGAACAGGAAGTAACGCAAGTTCACCCCTCACCGACTGCTGAAGATCAGAGTGAGTATAGTAGCCTGCTGCCCACTGGACTCCCATTGTTCCATGCTATAAAGCCCTGAAGACTGTAGGTAATTCAGATCACAGAGTGGGAATGCCACAACATGTTCAATCTTTTTTTTTTTTTTAAATATTTTATTTATTTATTTGACACAGAGAGAGAGAGAGAGAGATCACAAGTAGGCAGAGAGGCAGGCAGAGAGAGAGGGGGAAGCCGGCTCCCCACTGAGCAGAGCCCGATCTGGGGCTTGATCCCAGGACCCTGAGATCATGACCTGAGCTGAAGGCAGAGACCTAACCCACTGAACCACCCAGGCACCCCCAACCTGTTCAATCTTAAATAGAGTAGCCACTCACAAAAACATAACCCTTAACAGGCAAAATTCTTGGAGAAATACTTCAGTTTAAGCAACATTGCTTAGGCAGCTTGATAAACTTTTAAGTATTTGGTTAATAAGTAAGGCTTTTGAAGTCTTTGCTAATTTTCTTAATTACCCATGATTAACATGAGAGAAGTTAAACAGTCAAAGAAGAATACTTACTATATTACATTACTAAGCACTATTCTAAGCTTTGGGTTTACAGCAGTAAGCAAGACATGGCTCCTTCTCTATAGAACTTATATTTTATGGAAGAAAAGAATCAGTACAGAATTTAATAATAAAGTTTCAGGAACTGAAATGTACTATGGAAGAAAATAAAGCAGAGAGAAAGGACCTAGAAAATAAGAATTTTTTTTTAAAGATTTTATTTATTTATGTGACAGACAGAGATCACAAGTAGGCAGAGAAGAGGCAGAGAGAGAGGAAGAAGCAGGCTCCCTGCTGAGCAGAGAGCCCAATGTGGGGCTCGATCCCAGAACCCTGGGATCATGACCTGAGCCGAAGGCAGAGGCTTTAACCCACTGAGCCACCCAGGTGCCCTGAAAATAAGAATTTTTAAAGATTTTAACTTTTCATGTATTTTTGATATAAAGCTATGTAATATCTGATTTAGTAAGGATATGTTCATCCTAATTTTCAACATAAGCATATCACCTTTCCAACAAAAGGAAAATAGCAACAATATCGTGGAAATTGTTTTACCATCCTCTCTAAAGAGGTAGATTTAATTAAGGTAGTCCAGAAAGGCCTCTCTGAGGAGCTGATATTTGATCAAAGATCTGAGTGAAATGAAGGTGGAGACCACAAGTAAAAAATATGAGAAGTGTTCCAGGAATAAGGAACAGAGTGGAAGGACCAGATGTGGAAACAAGCTTGGTGTATTTAAGGAACAGCAAGAGATCCAATTTATAAACAGCTGAGTGAAAGAGGGAGAAAGTAACAAGAAATGAAGCCAAGGCAGGATGATACTAAAGAGGATTTGTGGGCTCTGGTGAAAGTTTGTTTTTTATTCTAAGAGTGAGGAAGGAACTACTAGAGGATCATGAGCAAGTATAACCAAATTTAGGAATGCTAAGGATCCTTCCTAAGAGATTTAAGGCAGACCTCCAGAGATACCAAAATATTAAATTCAGTTATATAATAAACTTGGCTATTCTTTATAGGCAAAATCTAGCTATCCCATAATGACTAAAGATAAGGCAAATATGAACTATGGTTCTGCTAATTTAACAAAAGTTAAATCATTCCAATTATCAGAATGTAGCAAGACTATATTGGACTATCTTGGACTATCTGATTTCTTCTGTGTATTTGATTATGATCAAAATATGTTTTAAAAACTCCATTACAAAATTGGTCAGTAAATAAAGAATAATACAACTATTTTATATATCTGTTTCTCAATAGCAGCATTATGAATATATGCTATTGCTTATCACCTTGTTTCAACAATATTTTGTTCTTTAGTCAAGATAATTTTACTGCTTCATCCTTAACTCTGCATCTTAATATGCCATATGTGTATATCCAAGTAGAGAATAAATTAAAATTGGCTAAATATTTTCAGGTCTACAGTTTACACTACAAGTGCTCCTCCGTATATGCATGTCTACGCCTTTATCTTTTTTTTTCCCCTTCAAGTTATCTTTGTACCACCCAGTGTGAGGCTCTGGGGCTCAAACTCACAGCCCCAAGATCAAGAGTTGCATTCTCTACCAATTGAGACAGTGAGGTATCCCAAAATTGGCTAAATATTTTTGGTGGATCTCAATTTTTTCTTTCACTGAAAGAGAATCTCAATACAAAGAAGAGCTAATACCTTCTAACCCTAATAAATGCTCAACAATTTTTTGATACTTGAAATGGCAGGTAATGAACTATTAATTAACTGAAAAATTAAGCTTGGATTTGATGGGAATACATCATTAGCGCAGGTAAGGATAAGAAGCCCATAATCAAGGTAGGCTTATATATTCAATTAAAATTAAACTAGAAAATGAAGAGTTGTATATCCATAGGCAATATTTTCAAAGATGAGGGTTATTTTTAAATAAAAACAAAGTTAACATTCTATAAAGGAAGATATTCTGATAGAATCAATAAATTCATTAATTCAGAAGAAAAGTACCTATGCTAAACTTTATTTGCATGTGAAAAAGAAATACTTCATATATTTTTTTCTGGAAACAAGTTTACTTTTTTAAAAAAATAATTTACCAAAGAGTATTCTTACTTTCACACTAACTGATTTTTTCATTAAAATTTATAAAATATAATTTTTTACAAGGAAATGCATCTAACCTTGTAATTTTGCTTCAATTCCATCTTTGTTCAATCCAGATGCAAAACCTATAAAAGTTATGAAAATTCAAAAAAAGTTAAAATAGAAAGGACTTAACTCATATTTATAGGCCCAATTTATACCCAACTTAATTAGAAAAGAGTAGTCTAACTTAATCTTAAATAGGGGGAAAAATAGCTTAATGAGTTAAAACAAGGCTTACCTATCTATAGAAAATAACCACTGTTGTAAACAATTGGTTATCTTTTGCTTTTTTATTGTGTAACTATGACCATGCATACTGTATTTTTTTCCCTTGGAGAGCTTAAAGTTTTGAACCTGTGTGCATTCAAATAATACTGCAATAAATCAGGTTTTAATTTGATATTCAGCAATTCCAAGTATTTTTACTTTATAACATGTACCATATGAAAGAACCTTCTAGAAGCAATATAACCAGATGTGTGTTAGCTTTAGAAGCAGGATGCACATTCCAGCAGCAACAGCAGTACTATATACTTTGATCTGAACACTAGTTCAGAAAAAATTCAAGAATCTTTTTACTTTAAAAAAATAATTTTAGGCATTTTTATTATTTTTATTTGAGTTAATTTTTTCCTAAAAGGTCTATATTTAATGGTGCCAATTTCAAACCTTATTAAAAGACTAGAAGTAAAACAGATAAAGGTTTCTCACATTTTTCTACTCTTGTTGCTAATGTATTTCTGAATGTTATTACTTTTTATTTCTGCTACCAATTACTGTCTATAATCTATTCTGTGACTTAAAAGTATAAAAATAGACTCAACTGGCTTGAAAAATTTACTACTTTTTCAAATCAAAGTAACAAACCATAATGAGATGGATTTTTCAAGGCTCTGATATAAAGCAAAGTTGATCGTATCCATTCCAAAGCAATATTCACATCTGTGATGGTATGTAACACTATCTCTGCATTTAAATGTTCAATAAGATGTCTGTGTAAACTAATAGAAAAAAAAAAACCTTTGTATTAGTAATATTTATTTTAATGTCATAACCTTACCTTTTTAAACTGCAATAATATTTTTAATAATTCAATAATTAAACATAATTAAAGAATATACTCATTGTTATATTAATAACTCATGAAAAATAACTTAATTTTCAAAAATATAAGAGAAAATCATAAAAAAAATCAGTTCAACTGTTAAAAAATTATAGACTTTTCTCTATCTCATGGCTCCAGAAGACATTATTACATAAAAAGAGTAGAGACTGAATATTCTCTCAGAGTATTATAATCATATACTTTACTAAAGGTTCCAGATTGCTATCTATTATTAAACAAATTTTAAAGATGTAAAAAGATGTTTTAGTCTTATTACTAATTTGGCCTTTTATAACAAGGATACATACTACCACATGCTAGGAAACTAGTGAATAAAAATATTACACTGTCCTTTTTAACTCTTAGCTTCTTAAAAGGACACAAACTTTCTGCTTAGATTATTAAAAAGTTTTAAGACAATGGTCTTAGACAATCTAATCAAATTTGCTTTTAATATGTGAATAGGAAAAATATTAGCAGTATTAACAACATTTTAGAATATTTTTTGAATTACCTGCTTTCTATAGTGTCACTACAAGCTAACATCTGAATATATTTCTCTTTTGTACTTAACCGAGTCATAATAACTGCAGTAGCTGTAGTGTCAAACTGGGAAAAAAAAGTAAATAAATAAACACACACACACATAGAGAAATGTAGTAAAAAAGAGTACATGTTGGTACCAGTCCTCTTTAAGAATTCATAAATTTCATTTTATATTAAGCAGTGCCTGTCTTAAACAACAGGTCAAAAACGCCTTAAAAATGTTTCTGAATTTGAATGTTCACTGAAAATTTAATTTAAAACCTTCCAAGAGTATAGATGTAAAAATATTACTTTAGTTTCAATGTAACAATTTTGGTAACAATAAAATCAAAACAAACTTAGGCAACTGGATAAAAGTTCTAAGATTTGGTGTAGTTTACATATAATCTAATTGATCTTATAAAAACTATGATTTATATAATATAATATTTTGACACTCTTTGAAAAGATAATCTTCCTAAATATTCCCCTACTAACTATAAGAATGACTTTTTTATTTAAATATTTGCTAGAGTAGGACATGTTTCTTAAAGTATATAGGCTAGTTTTTAATTGTCACAATACCTGGGGACCGCTATTGGCATTTTGCCTTAAGACCTGGGGATGCTACACATTCTGCAATGTATGACAGTCCTAAACAATGAAAAACTGTCCCATATAAAATGTGAATAGCATCCTCATTCAGAACAAAAAACAAAAACCGAAAAAACCTCAAAACCAAAAAAAAAAAAAAAAAAAAAACCAAAAAACCCACCTTTGATGGTATATACACATTCATCAACCCAACCAATAGCCTAAGGAAACTCAGAGGGCACAGAGGCAGCATCTCTCCTTCAGTGAGATTCATTTTATTTCTATGTCTCCATTAAAGCAGATTTTCTATTGCATTTAATTTTAAACCTAATCTGAATATGAAATGCTGATCTGTTTAACAAAAAACAGTTTTTGCTTTTTACCTTATTTTAAAACAAGTTACAAAAATAAAATATTGTCACTTACTTGAGGTCGACCAGCTCTACCAATCATCTGCAGAATATCTGTTTCACTGTACTCTTCAAACATTCCTCCAGCATAATGCATCGTAGATTTTATAACTACTAGGTGAGCAGGCAAATTTACTCCCATAGCTAAAGTACTGGTAGTAACTGTATCAGATTAAGAAATAACAGTTTCAAGCCATATAACTCTATTGCTTCAGTAGAGATCTTCTTATAAAATATATACTCTTATAAATATAATAAAAACTCATATATAGGGAATTTAGGAAAAACAAAGAGGAAAAGAACATCACTATGTAAAATAATAACACATCTTAAAATCAAAAAATTATTGGGGCACCTGGGTGGCACAGTGGGGTAAGCCTCTGCCTTCGGCTCAGGTCCTGGGATTGAGCCCTGCGTCAGGCTCTCTGCTCAGCAGGGAGCCTGCTTCCCCCTCTTTCTTTGCCTGCCTCTCTGCCTACTTGTGATCCCTCTCTGTCAAATAAATAAATAAATAATCTTTAAAAAACAAAAACAGAAACAAAAAACTATTAAATTCTTACTCTTCAGGTAGCACTATTCAGTAGCATGATAACCAAAACTGCCAGAGTTTACTGCAACATGTGTAAGTATGGGTAATTACATGATTTTAGATTCGTAGAAGAAAAGCAGAAATGAGTCAGAATACTTGAGCTTTTTTTTTTCTCTTAACAAACAGTTTTCCAAAATATCTTATAATAGGCACAAGAATATGTTTTACTTACAAAGAACTGGTAGATCTCCAACAGTGAAAGCTCCTTCAACTACTTTTCTATCTGACAGCTCCATACCAGCATGATGATAAGCAACACCATGTATTAAGATATCTGTAATAGAAATGTATCATCTGTTATATGCTGTTAACATTCCATCCATAATTGACTCCTTTTATGTATGGCTGAAAATCCTATTCAGAAATAATCTCTAAACTTACCTCTCAGTTTCAAATCTCTTATGGAATATGCACACTTCTGTAACCTATTTTTAAAATACCATAAAATTATTAACATAAAAGCGTAGTTTATTAATCATTTTAACATAAAAACATAGTTTATTAATCATTTTGATTAATCATTTTGAAGCTACAGATATTAGAATATTTTCACAATACCGTTGTTCAAAAATCACCTTTAAGAAGTAGAGAATACCTACCTTTCATATTCAGAAGTCCCTAAATTTATAACTCAGCAAAACAAGAAACAAGTTAAAAATGGGCAAATGACCTAAATAAACATTTTTCCAGTAAATTTATACAAATGGCCAACAATACATGAAAAGATGCTCCACATCACTAATCATCAGGGATAAATGAAGTCAAAATTACCTCACAGCTGTTAGAATGGCTAGTATGAAAATGACAGGAAATAACAAATGCTGGTGAGGATGTAGAGAAAAGAGAGCCCTTGTGCACTGTTGGTGGGAATAGTAAACTAATATGGACCACTATGGAAAACAATATGAAGATTCCTCAAAAAAAATTAAAAATAGAACTATCACATTATCCAGCAATTCCACTTCTGGATTATATCCAAAGGAAACAAAATCAGTATCTCAAAGAGATACCTTTACTCCTAGGTTGGTTGCAAAATTATTCAGAATAGCCAACATATATAAACATATATGTTTATATATAAACAGAGACAGATGAATAGATAAAGAACATCTGATACACACACCCACACATACACACACACAAACTCACACAATGGAATATTATTCAGTCTTTAAAAAAAAAGGAAATTCTGCCTTTTTCAACATGGATGAAGTTAGCAGCCATGTTGCTAAGTGAAATTAGCCAAAATGGTAATAATATGGTAATAATAATATGGTAATATGATAGTCAATTCTCATGTTATCCCACCCTTGATTAAGAAACTGAAACTGAAAAAAGTAATGTGCCGGATGGTACATGGCTAGTAAAGTGGCAGCACTGAAATCCAAATCATGGTCCCTAACTTCACACTGTTTCTATGCTTTTTCTTTTTTAAGACTGGTTTCTTTATTTTAGAGAGAGAACAGTGGGGAATGGGCAGGAGAAAGGGAGAATCCCAAATCCTAAACAGACTCAGAGCCTGACGGGGGGCTCCATCCCATGACCCTGAGATCATGACCTGAGCCAAAACCAAGAGTCAGTTGCTCAACAGCCTGCACCACCCAGGGTGTTACTAACACCAACATTTGTTTCTAATACCAACATTTCATTCCTGGAAAATCAGGAATAAAAAAGGGGGGTGGAGGCGGGGAGGGAGAGACAAGAGTGAAATGAAAGATGAGAAATTTTCCTTGAGTAACTAGGTAAAGAGTGGGAAGTAAGAAAAGGAGAAATATGATATATGCTTCTGTATAAGAAAATGATTATCTAAAACAAAATTAGCTAAGTTGGGTGCAGCAGACAACAGGGGAAAAGGGAGAGGATGGAATGGAAATTAGTTTCAAGTTTGCATTCAGGTTACCTATTTCAGTTTCTTACTCTTATAGATAGGTTCAGGTTCAAAATGCTAATTATTAAGTATTCATCTTAGGAAGTTGTATAATCAATTCTATATGAATGATGCTACTATTACACAAAGAATTCTATCAATTTTTATTAAAATTTCCTTCAGAGTTAGTTTTTGAGCAAGAAAGTAAGGCTCATTGCTTGACAACCATATCTGCTTCTGACTAAAAGTCACATGGCCCAACTAGATCAACTAGCTTATTCACCCAAGTAGAAGGTCCCAAATTACTCATTGCTACTTACTGTCTCCTCACTCTATAACTATACTTTTTTTAAAATTCCAGTTTACGTTTATACTATTACTAGTTTTATAATGACCTGGTCAATTGGTTTTTGAAACCCCATCTTTGCTAAAAACACTTAGAAAATTAATAATCAAGAATGTTAAAAAACCAAGTCCAGCTGGTATGGAAACTATTAATTGCAATTTAATTATAGAAAAGGATTTTGCCAGCAAAATGACCTAATGGATGCATACATTTTCCCAATATACTTGATCACTGCCTTAAGTAGCCAGGAAGTTTTCTGGATTAAAACCAAAGGCTCAGACCAGGTGATTAAAATAGAAACTTTAAAAAAAGGCTTAGGAAACATTCTCATTACAAGAATACTACCAATTAACTTCCTGAAGTTAACTAAGACATTCCAAAATACAGAAATATTTTGTTATTTGAGTGCATTATATAACAGAAGAAGTATTTAATAAAAAGCTAAAGAAACCAGAGTACAAAATAGCTGAACATGTTAGATTTAGAAACCTTAGTAACAGAATCTGGGGCTTGATGGGCAAAAAGAAGTCTTGTAGGATTTGCAAGAACATGAGTGGGCAAAGGAGAATTGAGTCTCTTTTCCTGGTCTACACCAACTCAAAATGGCATCCCATTCATTTTCATTCAATATATCCAGAATAGAATCATGGTTCTCTCAAACCAACTCCTCTTCCAGTGTTTCCCCGTCTTAGTTATACAGCACTCCCTGGTTGTTCATGCCATGTTTATCACTGACATCTCCCTCACCTTCCTCCACATAGGAAATCAATTACCAAATCCTATTTATTTTTACTTCTAATTATATCTCAAATATATCATTTTATCTCCATCAACACTGTCACCTCCTTAGTTCAAATCACTATTAGTTTCTAATAGTTTGAAATGCTCATACATATGCAGTTGGAGATGTCAGTTAGGCACGGACTATAGACTAGAGTTCAGAATGGAGCTATAAATTTAGGAACTGACAGACATATATAAATACGAGCATACATATATTCTTTGAACCCATGTGATAGACACAAATACCCAGGAGTGTGGAATTAGAAAGAATGAACCTTGGATAGAACCTCCAAAATGCCAACCTTTCAGAGCTGCATAAAGAGGATTGAGAATGAGCAGCCAGCAAAGTAGGAAGAAACTTGGTAGAGGATGATCACGGAAGCACAGAGTCCAGAATTTTGAAGTAAGGTGGGAGGGATCAAATGTATTAGAGGCTCCTGAGAGATCAATAGCAAGATTAGCTTTAGTGAAAGATTACAACAGATACCAAATTCAAAGTGGATTAAAAAAAAATAATGAAGACAGCAATGTGAATAATCTTTCAAGAAACTGGCTAAGAAATAAAGAAGATAGGATCAGAGTGTCACTAAGATTCACTCTCTCACTTAATCTTCCAAATTACTCTTATCCTTAATTTATACCTAAGGAAACTGAGGCTTAGAGAGGCTGATTAACTTGAAAAGGTGAAAGAACAAACCCAGTTTTCTCATCTCATCTAGATAATCCCTAAAAGTCTTCCCATCTCTAATAACAAAAAAAGAGAAAATGTACCTTTGTTTCTGTTCCATAGCCATGATAAATTTAGCATCTTTCACAAGAACAGAAGCAGCCTGTTGTACACCTTTCCTTGTTGCACAAAACTGAAAATAAATGAATAATTCTTGGATTGATCATATTAAAAACTGAACATTACACTCAAAAATAAGCAACTAAAAATCCATACCACAAGTGTGGGTTTCTGATCAGAGTATGTTTGTATAACACTGGCAATTTTGTAGTTGAGGGTTAAATCAAACTTAAATTCAGTTTGGTTACTTCTGCAGGGGAAGCCAAGAACCACTTTCCGAAGTTTCACCGGCCTATGTCTCTCATCCATTTTCAGGCATACTGCAGGTCTTTCACCATCTGAAAGCCATTCTGCAATCTTTAAATGACAGAAACATATATTAAAAGTTCTTTCTAGTCAAGTTTTATGGCTAAACAACGCAATAACAGACCACTTTTAAAGACAAGGTATAAAAATAATTAAGCTGTCTTTTTCAGTATTACATATTCCAGTGATACTATTCTATTTATATATTGGTAAATATTATCAGTAACAGTATTTTAAGATTATTCCCACCTTTCAATATGCTAAACTCCCAATTAATTATTATTATTTTATTTTCCTTCCCAAGAGTCCAAAATAAAATTAAAATTGATTTTGGCAAAGAAACTGAATTTCTCACTATCATTATTAACCTTCCTATTTTTCAGAACTATGCCTAGATATGTATGACAGCTCTTTTGAGTTGTGCTAAATAATAGCCAAGGAGTAGCAAAGTAATGGTTGGCTTAGATTAGCAAGGGTTGACAATTTTTAAACAAAGAGCAAATAAATGTTTAAAAGATAATAGTGCTGAAAGTACATTTCAGACTCAATGCCTGAGTCATTTGTTAATTTCTGAAGCTGTGGTGAGCAATCCTTATCTTCGTAAAACCTGGTTAGTAATTGGGCTTTATGCCTGCTCTGAAACTGACCACTGCTTTGACAGGAAGATGGATTAATGAGTTTTAGTTGCAGGGGAAAGAAATATTAAAACATTTCAAGGTTAAAGTGTATGCAAATAAGGTAACACAAGAATTTAATTTAAAAGGAGCAGAAGGCCAAGGGTGAAGACCCTAATTTAGGAGAAAATTGACACAGAGGATTTGTACAAAGAGATGGGAAAGTAACATACACAGATGTGGTGATTATCACAAAGGGCAAAAGAATTTCAAGAATTACAGAGTACTGATATTTAACGACTGCTTACAAATCAATAAGAAAAGCTTATTATCCCAATGTGAAAAAAAGGGTAAAGAACAGGGGAGAGACAAGATGGCAGAGGAGTAGCAGCCTGAAATGACATCAGAACCCAGGAGTTCAGTTAGATAGGTATCAAACCACACCTACAAACTCAACAGGAGATAGAAGAGAAGAAGAGCAGCAATTCTAGGAACAGAAAATTGATCACTTTCTGAAAGGTAGGACGAGTGGAGAAGTGAATCTAAAGTGATGGAAGATAGACTGCGGTGGGGAGAGGCTGGATCTGGGCAAGTGGTGGAGCAAGGGAGCACAAAATCAGAACTTTAGAAGTCTTGCTCCACTGAGGGACATCACTCCAGAGGCCAAGCGGGTGTGGAGTGCTCGTGGGGACAGTGTGATCTCAGGTCCCACGGGGGTCACAGAAAGGTCAGGGGTATCTGAGTGTGGCAGAGCTCCCAGGTATCAGAGCAGGGAAGCCGACTACAGAGACAGAGCCAAAGAATGAGCCTTCAGATCAGGGTTACCTTAAACCGTGATCCAAAGCACCGTCAGACCACTGCTCTTCAAACAGGAACCCCAAAAGGGGCAGATCCAGAGAGGCTCAACTTCCTGCTCTGGGAGGAGCAGCGCGGCAGGAATCTGCTGGGTTTGGAGACTCCAAATAGGGTCATGTGCCAGAGACAGAAATGCTCAGTCACAGGCCAGGTGAGCTTGGGAGTGCGGCTAGTGACCAGAGAGACAGGAGTGATTGACTGCTTATCTCTGAGAGCCACTGAGGAGTGGGGTTCCGGGCTCTCGCCTCCTCCAGGAAGAGATTGGGAGGCCACCATTTTCATTCCCATCCTCCAAAGCACTACAGAAAGCATTCAGGGGAAAAAAGCTCCAAGAGTGAACCTAAGAAGATTACTTAGCCTGGTCCCTGGCAAGGGCAGCACAATTCCGCCTCAGGCAAAGACATTTAAGAATCACTACAACAGGCCCCTCACAAAGATGATCAGCAAAACATCGAGCCAAGACCAAGCTCACCTATCGAGAAGAGCCGAACTCCAGAGCTAGGGGAAAGCAACACATAGAATTCAGGGCTTTTTCACCATGATCCAGTAGTCTTACAAAGTTAAATGTTTTTTAATTGTATTTTTTCTTATTCTGTTTTTTTAAATTTTTCCTCTTTCCTCTTTCAATGTTTTCTAACTAGTTTATCTTAACAATATCTTTCTTAAAAAAATCATTTTAAACATTCATTGTTACAGTCATATTTTATCCCTTCATTGTATTTAACCTTGTTTTTTGTATACATATAGGTGTTTTTTTTCCTAAAAAATTTTGGGATACAATTTCTTCTAATAGATCAAAATATACCCTAATCTAGCATATGACTTTGTTCTAGTCTCCAGCCTGAGCACAATCCCTCCTCTTTTTTTTTTCCCAACCAACTTATCAATTCCTTTTTTAGAATTTTTAAAATTTTCATCTTTATAGTCATATTTCATCCCCTAATCATGTTTACCCTTATTTTTGTATATATATAAGTTTTTCTTTCTTTAAAATTTTGGAATTGTTTCTTCTAAGAGACCAAAATACACCCAAAATCAAGTGCGTGGCTCTGTTCTATTCACTAGTCTAATATATATATATATACACACACACACACACATATATATATAATTTTTTATTTTTTAATTTTTATTTCGTTTTTCTCCTTTTCTTCTCCCCCTGGTTTTGGATCTTTTCTGATTTGGTTACCATACTTTTTTCTGAGGTCTTTGCCACCTTTTAGTATGTATTCTCTCATTCATACATTCTTATCTGGATAAAATGACAAGGCGGAAAAACTCGCCACAAAAAAAGAACAAGAGGCAGTACCGATGGCTAAAGACCTAATCAATACAGACATTGGAATATGTCAGAACTACAGTTCAGAACGATGATTCTCAAGGTGCTAGCTGGGCTTGAAAAAGGCATGGAAGATATTAGAGAAACCCAGTCTGGAGAAATAAAAGCCCTTTCTAGAGAAATAAAAGAACTAAAATCTAACCAAGCTGAAATCAAAAAAGCTATTAATGAGGTGCAATAAAAAATGGAGGCTCTTACTGCTAGGATAAATTAGGCAAAAGAGAGAATTCATGATATAGAAGATCAAATGATAGAGAATAAAGAAGCTGAGCAAAAGAGAGACAAACAACTACTGGACCACGAGGGGAGAATTCGAGAGATAAGTGATACCATAAGACGAAACAATATTAGAATAATTGGGATTCCAGAAGAAGAAATAAGAGAGAGGGGGCAGAAGGTATATTGGAGCGAATTATAGTAGAGAATTTCCCTAATATGGCAAAGGGAACAAGCATCAAAACCCAGGAGGCACAGAGAATCGCCCCCCTTAGAATCAATAAAAATAGGTCCACACACCATCATCAAATAGTAAAACTTACAAGTCTTAGTGACAAAGAGAAAATCCTGAAAGCAGCTCGGACAAGAAGTCTGTTACATACAATGGTAGAAATATTAGACTGACAGCAGACTTATCCAGAGAGACCTGGTAGGCCAGAAAGAACTGGCATGATATATTCAGAGCACTAAATGAGAAAAATATGCAGCCAAGAATACTATATCCAGCTAGGCTATCATTGAAAATAGAGAAATAAAAAGCTTCCAGGACAAACAAAAATTAAAAGAATTTGCAAACACCAAACTAGCCCTACAGAAAATATTGAAAGGGGTCCTCTAAGCAAAGAGAGAGCCTAAAAATAGTAGACCAGAAAGGAAGAGAGACAATATACAGTAACAGTCACCTTACAGGCAATACAATGGCATTAATTCATATCTTTCAATAGTTACCCTGAATGTTAATGGGCTAAATGCCCCAATCAAAAGACATAGGGTATCAGAAGGAATAAAAAAAAACAGAACCCATCAATGTGCTACCTACAAGAAACTCATTTGAGACCCAAAGACACCTCCGGATTTAAGGTGAGGGGATAGAAAACAATTTATCATGCCAATGGACATCAAAAGAAAGCTGGGGTGGCAATCCTTATAACAGATAAATTAGATTTTAAGCCAAAGACTATAATAAGAAATGAGGAAGGACACTATATCATACTTAAAGTGTCTTCCCAACAAGAAGATCTAACAATTTTAAATATCTATGCCCCTAACATAGGAGCAGCCAACTATATAAACCAATTAATAACAAAATCAAAGAAACACATCGACAATAATACAATAATAGTAGGGGACTTTAACACCCCCTCACGGAAATGGACAGATAATCCAAGCAAAAGATCAACAAGGAAGTAAAGGCCTTAAAGGACACACTGGACAAGATGGACATCACGATATATTCAGAACATTCCATCGCAAAGCAACAGAATACACATTCTTCACTAGAGAAGACGGAACATTCTCCAGAATAGATCACATCCTGGATCATAAATCAGGTCTCAGCCATTACCAAAAGATTGGCATCATTCCCTGCATATTTTCAGACCACAATGCTCTGAAGTTAGAACTCAATCACAAAAGAAAGTTGGAAAGAACTCAAATACATGGAGGCTAAAAAGCATCCTACTAAAGAATGAATGGGTCAACCAGTAAATTAAAGAATTCAAAAATTTCATGGAAACAAATGAAAATGAAAACACAACTGTTCAAAATCTGCGGGACACAGCAAAGGCGGTCCTGAGAGGAAAATATATAGCCTTTCTCAATAAAATATATAGGCCTTTCTCAATAAACAAGAAAGGTCGCAAGTACACAACCTAACCCTACACCTAAAGGAGCTGGAGAAAGAACAGCAAAGAAAGCCTAAACCCAGCAGGAGAAGAGAAATAATAAAGAGAGTAGAAATCAACGAAATCGAAACCAAAAGAACAGTAGAACAAATCAACGAAACTAGGAGCTGGTTCTTTGAAAGAATTAGTAAGATTGATAAACCCCTAGCCAGACTTATCAAAAAGAAAAGAGAAAGAACCTAAATAAATAAAATAATGAATGAAAAAGGAGAAATCACAACCAACACCAAAGAAATATAATTACAAGAACATATTATGAGCAAATATACGCTGGGAAATTCGACAATGTGGAAGAAATGGGTGCATTCCTAGAGACGTATAAACTACCAAAACTGAACCAGG